AAGCAGGTTCCAGGCTCCGAGCTGTCAGTACAGAGTCCGATGTGGGGCTTGAACTCACTCACGGACAGCGAGATCATGACCTGAGCTGAAGTCGGATGCTCAACCAACTGGGCCACCCAGGCGCCCCTTCTCTCTTTTTCTTAAAACTAATTTCAGGGGCACTTGGGTGGCACAGTCAGTTGAGCGTCCGACTCTTGGTCTCAGCTCAGGTCGTGATCTCATGGTTTGTGGGTTCAAGTCCCAAATTGCGCTCTGCACTGATGGCATGGAGCCTGCTTGGGATTCTGTCTCTCCTTCTCTCTGCCCCTTCTCTGCTTGTGTCAGTTTGGTCAAAGTAAATAAATAAACTTAAAAAAACAAAATTAAAAAACAAAATGCTAATTTCAGGCATCTTCTGCCAATTCATTCACTCATTTCTCTCCCTCCCCCACCTTTTTAAGATAATATCATAAAGGAAGAGATTTTATTTATTCATTTATTTTTAAAGTATACTCTACCTCCAATGTGGGGCTCAGATTCACAGTCCTAAGATCAAGAGTTGCATGCTTTATTGACTGAGCCAGCCGGGTGCCCCTGGAATGCAGTCTTCCCTTCTGCCCTTCAGCCCAACAAGTCAGAAATTCAGTTTTCAGACTTAAATCGGTGAGAATAAAAATTCCATGGAAGTGATACCAGTAGATGGCATATCTTCTTATTCTAGCTCAGGCAGCACTCATGTCTATGATGCTGGAAATAAGCTATCCAGACTTCGTATTGCTTAGCTTCCATATTTTAATATTTTGGGAATGGTAACTTGCATTTCGTTAACATGAAGTTTTCTGATTTACTCTTTTCCTCACTTTTGTCAAATTATAATCTGAGTTACAAACATGCTCTAAATAACTAAATAGGGGAAGTCAGATATGATTTTGTTACACTTTAAGCTATAGTTTTATTGGTTATTTTCTCCCCAAATATCTGGGATCATAAGTTATCATTAAAAACAATCATTGCTAGGGGCGCCTGGGTGGCACAGTCGGTTAAGCGTCCGACTTCAGCCAGGTCACGATCTCGCGGTCCGTGAGTTCGAGCCCCGCGTCAGGCTCTGGGCTGATGGCTCGGAGCCTGGAGCCTGTTTCCGATTCTGTGTCTCCCTCTCTCTCTGCCCCTCCCCCGTTCATGCTCTCTCTCTGTCCCAAAAATAAATAAAAACGTTGAAAAAAAAAATTAAAAAAAAAAACAATCATTGCTGACAATATATATAGCCCACAGCTGAATATTACCCCAGAATTACCTGCTCAGAGCAGAATGCCTTCTCTGTAGGCCCAGAGTTTTGAACAATACACTCCCAATCCTCCATTGTTTATTAGCCCTAAATCTCTAAAGACACAATGCTCTAATAGTGATCTCTAACACACCTTTGTAGGACTTTACAAGGACTACTAGAAAAGAATCTTCACAGTCCACAGAGTTGTTGCAGGTACATTTACTAAACACGTGGAAGAGTGTAAGACCCTAGGGAGAAAAGGTTACAAGAGAGCCAACACTGTCCTAGATCCCCAGAAACTTCTAATTGAGGTAAGCAGATACAGCAAACCCACCAGAGATTTTAAGTATAAATTGACACATTGAAAATCTAACAAAAGCTGAGACATCACACAACAGAAGAGTGACTAAAGTTAACAGAGCAAAGGAGGAGAAATTCTGAAGAAAGAGTGTGTTCCGGGCAGGACACGGAAAGGGCATCTCAAGAAATAGGAACGATAAGAAAACAAGAATTAGTACAAGGTAAGCAGGAAATAGCAAGTGATTTTGCTAAGGTAGAACAGAGAATCGATGATGTGAAATGACTAGATAGACAGAAACAGTGGCAACCTGATAGAAAGATTTGGGACTTTAGACTTCGTAATGTAGGAAGTAACCGGAGGTGGCTGATACAGTACATGAGTTATTCATCCAGCAGATACTGAGTGGCTGTTACATGCCAAGCAATGTTCCAGGTGCTAGGGTTAGGCTAGTGAACAACAAAAGGCTGAAGGCTATTTTATCATTTGTATAAAGAGACAATGCCTGGTATCAGGGGGACCTGCTGAAATGACTGCCTGACTACAGCAATGGAAAGAATTGGATCTAAGAGAATATGGTCACTGGCCAGACCTATCGAGTGGTTATGGATGATGGAAAAGAAAAAGGAAAGAATCACCTAAATAGGAAATGAGAGTGACAGAGAATTTAGGGTTACAAGATTTTTTGCTTAGTTTCTTAACTGCTTCAGGTTCAGCGAGATACTTCAACTGAATTATGTGCAGGTAACTGAAAAGGCATACTGGGAAAAGGGTTAAGAGCAGCCTGTAGAGTAATAATCTCAGATGTACAGGTTTGAACATAAAAGCAGACATTCGCTCTAGCTCTAAGCACTTCTCACACATTAACATTTAATCCTCACAATAGCCCTCTATGGCCAGTCTATTCCACTCATTCTACAAATGAGAAAATTGAAGCAGAGAGAAAGAACTTGTCCAGG